ACTGAATACTTTTTTTATGAAGTAATTTGTAACTGTAAATGAATACATTTTTAAAGTAACCCTCCCAAGCCTGCTGCTTCTCTCCCAAGACCCCATGTTTCCTCCTGGATTCTCCCCGATTCTCCTGTGATCCTTCCCTGTGTTTCCCGGTTTGCACATCCTATCTGCATCCAAGCATATCTCTGCCAGATATCATCACACCATCATTCCTCTACATATCATATCCTGCATATGTCCGTTTCGTCTGATGCTCACCTGCCATTCTACTATTGACTCTGTGCACGAGAAAAATGCTAACTCCCGGCTTGAGGGCGGATGTTGGGTACTTCGGTTCCGGTTGCCGTTGTTTACATCAGTGGACCGGCTATCTAAAGCTTAGCTATCTAAATATATTTGTCTAAAACTATGTTCGTTTGTTCATTGTCAAGTCAATCAACACAGTTTTCACACATATTTGGGTGGAGCCAGGCGCTGCTGCATTGTGAAAAGTAAACGATATTTAAATCTGCTTTTTGTCACCGCACCCAAGCAGTCGCTTTACCGAGTGGAGCGTTGCGTATCCATGACAACTAGAAGGAAGTTTTTAGGCTACTAATTATTTATTATATTATACCCTTTAACCAGGAGAAGCCCCTGGGGTTAGAACCTATTTTGCAAGGGAGACCTTTTTGGAAATGACACACTGGTGAAGACGACAGACTGTGACATCACTCCCCCCTCCCGGTAGGCGTGGCCTCACGCCGTAACATCAATGGGGAGGGGGGGTGGGCGCCCTGGAGGCTGTGGAGGGCGTGGTCAGGAGGGAGAAGCCCCCCCCCAGGGCGGAGCAGGATGAGGGCGAGGCCAGGGCGGTGCAGGCTGAGGGCGTGGCCAGGGCGGATCAGGCTGAGGGCGTGGCCAGGGCGGTGCAGGCTGAGGGCGTCCCCAGGGCGGAGCAGGCTGAGGGCGTCCCCAGAGCGGAGCAGGCTGAAGGGCGTCCCCAGGGCGGAGCAGGCTGAGGGCGTCCCCAGGGCGGAGCAGGCTGAGGGCGAGACCAGGGCGGAGCAGGCTGAGGGCGAGACCAGGGCGGAGCAGGCTGAGGGCGAGACCAGGGCGGAGCAGGCTGAGGGCGAGACCAGGGCGGAGCAGATGGAGGGAGGACCCCTGGTGGAGCCGAAGGAGACGGGGCTGACAACACCAGGGGGCCGACTGACAGGTGCGGAGCAGATGGGAGAGGAGACCAGGGTGAAGCTGAGGGACAGACGACATTGGGTGCTGAGGAGGGACCGAGGGACCATGGGGACACCGCAGGCTCTGGTGACTGAAGTGACGACACGGGCACAGAGGGACACGGTGAGGTCAGAGGGCGTGAGGGCTGACGGGTGACTGGAGGGGATGAGGAGTCCGACAGAACCGGGGGGGTGACATGACAGGGCGAAGCCAAGGGAAGGAAGTCCAAAGGTGAAGGGAGGATGACGAGGGAGCGCAGGGAATCCGGAGGGTCGAAGGAGCCTGGCCGAGGTGGTGGACTGAGGGGCCAAGGAGGAGCTGAGGGAGGTAGGAGCCACTGGGACCGGGGGCCGAGGAAGTGTCCATGTGGAGGAGTTGGGAGGCGAAAACCGGGGATCCCACGACCAGGCTGGGTCAGGGGAGCTGGCAGACGGAAGGGCTGACGGCTGCGTGACGGGAGGAGGTGGGAGAGGGAGGCTGGGTGGGATCCTGGTCTCGGGCTCTGGCTGGACGGTCTCGGGCTCTGGCTGGACGGGCTCTGGCTGGACGGTCTCGGGCTCTGGCTGGACGGTCTCTGGCGCTGGCTGGACGGTCTCGGGCGCTGGCTGGACGGTCTCTGGCGCGGGCTGGCCGGTCTCTGGCGCGGGCTGGACGGTCTCGGGTGCGGGCTGGACGGGACCAGCGAAGAAGAGAGCTCGGGCTCTGAGAGGCTGGACGGAACCAGCGGAGAGGGGATGATGGCAGGTGTGGTGATGATGGTGGGTGTGTGTGGTTGAGGTTGCACCAACGGTGAAGGCTGACCCACTCAACCACAACACATGGTCCAGGTATTCGGCGAAGGTTCCTGGAAACGCTGCTGCTGGGGCTTGCTGGTACAGATGATCGTCCAAACCCAGCCAAAAGACTGACTTTAGGACGTCATCTGACCAACTTACCCCAGCGGAGAGCTCCAGGAACCTGCCGACATACTCCTCAGATGAGCGTCCGTCTTGGAATACGTTGAGGGTGGTGAGAGCCGTGGTTAGGAGAAGCCCCATGCTGTCACTGTCAATGGTCGGTCAATCTGTCACGGGTGTGGGTGCAGGCAGAAGAACAGGCTGAGTCCAAGAAGCTCCAATACACAGATTTACTAATAACTAAATTCAAATACAGGCAGGAAGACAGGGTAACACCAGGTAACATTAAACATTGACCGACAAACACAGACTGAAGGAGGGAGAACTAAATATACAGAGGAATCAGGACTAAATGAGGTGAACACAGGTGGAAATGATAATGACATGACGAGAAACAGGTGGCTGATTGGGGAGTGAGTCCGGGAGAGGAACAAAAGGATCCGGGGAAGTGTGGTGCAGATGACGGGACACACTGGTGAAGACGACAGACTGTGACACAAACATGCTCATGTTCTAATTATAATCATATAGTCTTTGTATGCTAACTATGAAAGTTGGGGTGAAAGTTGTACAGCTAATACAAAAATAAATAAAACACCTCAAGTTTAATAGCAGATAATTCATTTATTTCGCTATTTAATAAGCGATTAAAGTAAGAGATTAAATAGTGCTAAATTCTGTTGTTTTTTAAATCAAGCGGAGCGCTCTTTTTTGCTGCTATCAGTTGCATGGTCTTTTGCGGCTCGCGCACCGTCTTCATTTGGACGCGCGCTTCATTCTATCACCGTTGCAGAGACTATTGTGTACAGGCCGCCGGATGGTGTTGCTAAGAACTTGCAAAGTATAATTATCAGACCGCTCCTTGCGGCCTCGAAACACTACCGGCCCACTGGGGAAAGTCCTGAATCTCCGGACTGCCACTGCGCTACTGACCGCCCAGATAGCAAACTGACATTGAATCAACGTGGAAATATGACATAGAAACAACTTTGATCTGACATTGTTTTGCTCATCGAATTAACGTTGAACCAACGTCAGACGCGTCATTCTTTTAAAACTAACGGAAAATCAACTTGAAATCAACGCGTTGTTTCAACGTTATGAAAGCAAACCAATTTTCGATTTTCATTTAGCTTTGAAGAATGCCGCGTCTGACGTTGGTTCAACGTTAATTCGATGAGCAAAATCAACGTTGTTTCAATGTCATGAGAGACGTCGTTTCCACGTTGATTCAATGTCAGTTTGCTGTCTGGGCGGCGGCCACATCATCATTTAAATTATTTAAACCCGGCTCTTTTTTAAAAAGTGGGTCATTGTGACTGACGTTCTCAACTTTATATATTACTTTCTCCCGCCCGCAACATTTGTTTCGTCCGACTCCTGCCCACAAAAAGCCTCCTGTAGCCTACCTCCAAATACTTTCAAGTTAGCCTGTGTCGCCACCATACACAACAGCATAATTCCTCCTGATAATTGTTATTAAGGCATTAACACACAAACCATTGTTACAACATAAAAGCAAGCAGCTCCTGCGTGCATGGTTTGGCATGACTGTGCGCTCCCTTAATAATTCCTAAAAAGCTGACAGTTCATCGCGATCTCACACATCTGTCATTATCAATTAAGCTTTCATATAGGCCTACACTTTGTTAGTTATAATTAGTGGATTTGCCAACATAAAGAATTCAGCACTGAACAAAAGGTCCGTTTTGAGCGGTGAGGGAAGTCTATCGTAAATTCTTCTGATTCGCACTCAAAAAAAAAAAAACAATAATTGAGAATTTTTTTCCCACAAGCCATTTCAAGTAAATAGGTACAAGTCTGAGTCAAGTCTAAAGTCACAAGGAGCAATGTTCAATGTTTTCAATGTTCAATGTTGACAGCTATGGACTGGATACAGTAAAAGTTTAATATTTCAACTTGCTCTACTGATTATGTCACATTTATCGTTGCTCTGATTGGTTGTAGCGCTATCCAATTGCGTGCAGAGAGAATTTGAAAGACAACAGTTTTTCCTGCCAGATTGAGCAAATCACAAATCCAGATGATTGGAACCAAATACTGAGGAGGACTTTTACTTTTTTTACACCTCTGACAAAAATTGGCACCCTGCTACTGGTGCTCCCAAAAATCAATTTATTAAAATATACAACATTTCGAAGACCTGAAGGTCTTCATTAGTCAAAAAAAAGTTGAAATGTTGTATATTTTAATGATTTTTCGGAGCAGCAGTGAAAGTGTGCCGATTTTTTAAAAAATTCTTTAGTGAAGTGCTTATATCTGATTGTGAACCTGCCTAAGGTTTCTGAATGTGCACATATTATTATCTTGTGTCAGATTTCATCACAGATTTTGATAACACACTGAATAGATACTATTACAAAAATAATGGATTTTATGTTACATAAGTTCGGTCATGTACGTTTTTTAATGTGGCATCTGTCAGTGTAATTATTTCAGCAACAAGGGTGTTTTGAAACTGTATATTGCATTTTTTTGCTATTAAATTAACTGATTGTTAAAAGAACTAAATACATATTGTGTTTCAGTGATTAAAATAGGTTCTAATTACATATTGCAATAATCTTGTGCTTGAAACAATTATTATGTGGACTGAAAATAAAAGCATGGGATCAGGTTTTGAAACAATTACTAGCTGTGTTTGGTTTTTTGGTTACAATTTGGATTTTTGTACATGTGTTTTGAAAATGCACGCCTTACTTGTGAAAATAGTACAAAAGGTAATAAATAAAATATGTATTCATCAGCCTATACCACTGTATCAAGGTGAAACAAGATATTAAATGATAAAAATTAGGGTACATCACATACATACTGTACATACAACTGAAATAATGTAAAGAACAAAGTAAAATAAAACCTTCCCCTTCTTACCCTCCTCCATCACACTGTTTAAGTTTGAGGAATTTGCAGCAGGCGTTTTACCATCTGCACTGTACCGCATTGAGTCTACATGAGAAAGAAAAGAGAAATCTACTAGAATTTTCAGTGTTTGGAAAAGGATAGGATAGGATAGGATAGGATTAGCCTTTATTGTCTCCTAATGGAGAAATTCATCTTTGGCCTTCGGGACACAGATGTAACACAGTATACATTATACATAACACATAACACACAAAACATGAATTACATAAATACAAATTATATTAATGTTAAAAATTAATGTCACACCCGACATGATTAACCTAATTAATGTCACACTTAAATTCTAACCCACACACCCTAGTTGATCGTTCAGTATTTTAATAGAGAGCGGTACAAATTAAATTTAAACCTATTTAATCTGCAGTTTGGTAACCTGTACCTTCTGCCTGAGGGCATCATCTCATACTCACTGCATAGGACATGATTCGGATCGTTAATGATTTTAAAACTATGTTTCTTTACCGCCGCCACAAAAAGCTCATTAAGAGTAGTCGATTGCACTTGCCCGATTATTTTCCTTGCCCTTTTAATCAATGTTTGGAGTGATGATTTTAATTTAACTGACAGGTTACCAAACCAAACTACCATACCATATCGAACAATAGACTCAATAGCTGCCTTTAAAACAGTAGCATAATATCCTTGTCAACTCCATGCACTCTTAATCTTCTTAGAAAGTGAAAACGCTGACATATTTTTGAGGAAACATATTCCACTTGATGAGACCATTGTAACCGTTTATCTAATTGAATTCCTAAATATTTATACGATGTTACTTGTTCAATCGGAACTCCTTCAATTAGAATAGGGCTTAGGTCACCTATAGACCTAGGGTCAAAAATCATTTCCTTGGTTTTATTAATATTAAGGAGCAAGTTATGCTTATTGCACCACTTCACCATCTCCTCTATCTCCTTTGTATACATACCAATATCTGAATTTTTGTAAAGTAAACTAAGGATGGCCGTATCATCTGAAAATTTAAAAATAAAATTATTCCTCTCATCATTATTTCTGCACTCATTTGTATATAATATAAAAAGTAAGGGCGAACTTACACAGCCTTGCGGGGCACCTGTACTTATGTTAATCATATCAGGAAAAGCTATACTTTTAAATGTAATGCATTACAATATTGCTTTACTTCATAAAAAAGTAACTAAAAAAAGTAACGTTAACTAAATTAACGTGTTAGTGTAACAGGTACATGAAGTTTCCTGTTTCCTGAATACAAATGTTTATAAGAATTTACCAAAACCTACCAAGGACACAGGTATTTTTATAACCGGGACTTTTTTTTATGCGGTTCGGCGGTTCGTCCACATGGAAACGTAGTGTCAGTACACTGAAACCAAACATTTTTGAAAACCCCTGCCAGGGTGAGGATTTTCAGAAACGCCGGTTACAGTGTTGTCGTGTAGACAGTAAAACCATGTTTTTTGCCTTGCGACGTCAGAGCGTGCGCCCGCGCTCTGCCGTTATCAGCCTACCGGAACCTGTAATAACTTTTGCTAGGCTTCTGATTGGCCAACATGGCTTTATGGTTAGGGTTATATCGCCGCCTGCTTGTGTGGCATGCTCTTGACATTGCCTGATAACGTGTTTTTGCGTTTTCATGTGGAAAGGATCTTTTTTTAAAATGCAGGAGGAAAAACTCTGGTTTAAAAAATACCTGTGTCCATGTGCACAATAATAATAATAATAATAATAATTTGTTACATTTATATAGTGCTTTTTCTGGGACCTCAATGTGCTTCACATATGGAAGGGGGGAAACTCCTCAACTACCATCAATGTGCAGCATCCACCTGGATGATGCGACGGCAGCCATATTGCGCCAGAACGCCCACCACACACCAGCTTATTGGTGGTGAAAAGATGAAGCCAATTAGTATATAGATGATGAAGCCAATTAGTATATAGGGATGATTAGGAGGCCATGATGGACAGTGGCCAAGGGGCAAATTTGGTCAGGATGCCGGGGTTACACCCCTACTCTTTTTCAAGGCCTAAGACATCAGGCCTTGAAAAAGGCCTAAAAACTAAGATGGGTGTGTCAGATAAGAGATTTCAAAAATGTCAGTGTTAGGGGTGTTCCTAGACCAGGGTTGGGAAGCACTGCTGTAGATTTTATTGTGTCGAATAAATCATGTGACTGGATTTGAAACATGAACAACTTTAGCGTTAACATCTTGAACTTGTATGTCCTCAGAGTACAGTTCAAACAACACAGATCTAGAATCGGATGCATACCTATGTCCTTTTTTGTGAAACAGAAAATCGCAGCTGTACAAGGTCGATTTTCTTGAAGGGGAACATTTTAATGGCCCTTCTGCTTAAAAGATACTGTAGTTCCCATTTTAGTAGTGGAATGTGGAGGCAAATTCGAGGTGTTCAGGAGAAATACTTTTTTTCCTTGATGCCCATAAGCTTAAGCCACAGATGTCTCTCCATAGCAACAATAGAAGCCATTGATCGGCTAATGATGGCGATATCTATGGCTTGAAGGAGTTCTTTGACCATCCCATCCCATACTTTATCACTACAATGGCCAAATAATTTGTGGTTGCTGGGTTGAAAGTTCTTAATGAATATGGGTTCTTCCATGATCTCGACACCTCAGTGAAATCCAGAAAGAAGGTGTGATAGAAGTGTGCACTTCTATCACAATGTGCAGAAACATCAACATATTTCATATATTAAACATTTAACTCATCAAAGCCAGGTGCTTAAGCATTTAACTCATCAGGGCTAAATGCAGCCAGTAAATCAACCAGACAAGATGTAGCACTGTCTGGATGATAGACCAAATATGCTGTATTTAACCAAATCAGCATCTAACTGAAAGTTAGAAAATTAATCAATATCTATCATACAAACAAAAAGAGATCACAAGTGAGCTTCCGGTTTACATGAGATCTTCCCGTGCAATATAATCAGTTTGCATGCAGTCGAAAGAGAGAGGAAAAGTGTGGAACCTCCATCTACTCAATGTTTCTTCCAATTTTATTTAGTTGCGGACCTATAAAGGTCACTTCCTGTTGCCAGCAGGTGGCGCTATGACTGTGGGTGAATGCCGGCATGTAGATTTGTTCAGGGTGGGATTCTTGTCAAATGTGAACAATTTGGTGCAGATCTGGGCATTTACAGCCAAGTTACTACAACTTCCTGTTTCATGGCGAATCATCGACGCCATGGACACACCCATCGACGAAAACGCGCAGATAGCACAACTTTACATCGTCAATGCTTTTAGAAGGCACAGCGGAAATTTGAAGTCGATCCGACTAAATCCCTAGGAGGAGTTTGTTAAAGTACGGAGTGTGTAAATCGTCCCAAAATGGCTGCCAAATTCAAAATGGCAGACTTCCTGTTGAGTTTAGGTCATCGCTCCAAGACACTTTTTTGTGGGTCTGGACATGCTAGATGTACCACAGAAATTTCGTACATGTCGGTTAAACATGCGGCGGGGGCTGCTTCGTTAAAGGTCACTTCATGTTGCCAGCAGCTGGCGCTGTGACTCTGGGTGAATGTCGGCATGTGGATTTGTTCAGGGCGAGACTCTTGTCAAATGTGTAAAATTTCGTGCAGATCTGGGCATTTACAGGCAAGTTACAACAACTTGGACACGCTGATCGACAAAAACGCGCAGATAGCACAACTTTACATCGTCAATGCCTTTAGAAGGCACAGCAGAAATTTGAAGTCGATCCGACTAAATCCCTAGGAGGAGTTCGTTAAAGTACGGAGTGTGTAAATCGTCCAAAAATGGCCGCCAAATTCAAAATGGCCAACTTCCTGTCGAGTTTGGGTTATGGGTTCTTGAGGCTTTTTTGTGCGTCTTGATATGATACACGTCCCCACCAAATTTCGTGCATGTAGGTTGAACGTGGTCGAAGGGCTAATTTTTTCCAATTTTCTAGGTGGCGCTAGCGAGCCATTTTGCCACGCCCATCTGCGAAACCCACAAAATTTGAAATTTTTCACCAGTCCTGACATGCGTGCCAAATTCGGTGAGTTTTTAAGCATGCTGCGGCCCCAAAAATGGCGCTTACTTGCAGAAAAAAATAAAAAATAACCCTAACAGTTTCAATAGGGTCCTTGCACTGTTAGTGCTCGGGCCCTAATAACCCTAACAGTTTCAATAGGGTCCTCGCACTGTTAGTGCTCGGGCCCTAAAAATAACCCTAACAGTTTCAAGAGGGTCCTCGCACTGTTAGTGCTCGGGCCCTAATAACCCTAACAGTTTCAAGAGGGTCCTCGCACTGTTAGTGCTCGGGCCCTAAAAATAACCCTAACAGTTTCAATAGGGTCCTCGCACTGTTAATGCTCGGGCCCTAAAAATAACCCTAACAGTTTCAAGAGGGTCCTCGCACTGTTAGTGCTCGGGCCCTAATTAATCTCTCATGGGATTCATCCACATTTGATTCAGCACTCCAAAGAGACTGGAGTCACATTCCATTGACACCGGATGGCCAAACCTTCCCCCTCAGAAGAATTTTTATGGCCCTGCTGGCACCAACAGAATGCCACAGGAAGGGCAATGATCCTGGACAAAGATGTAAAACAGATCTTCCCCCACTCTTCGAACACACAGTGACCTCACTGTTGAGATCTGAGATCTCATACATAAAATCATATAAACTCACCCCAGAACAATTACTGATGGACTTACACATTTAATTCTATGTTTGCTACTGTTTCTGCAATTCATGTGTTGCGTTTGTTATGCTTAGATCACATAATAATCATGTAATTGTTGTTAACTATTAACTCCTGTAATTGTTATACAACTATTAGAAGTGTGAATGCCTCGTGTTTACTATCAAAAGAATCGTACGCTCTTAATTCAAAAGATGGCTTGATTGAAATCTGTGTAAATTGTTTTGTATGATTATAATAATCTATAATGTTTAAACTGTGGTCTCTTGTTTCTCTGCTAAGTGCTGGGAACCAATCAGATCACAGATCACGATAAGTAGGAACCAGATCCACCTCCTAAAATTATGCCATTTTCTCGTTGG